ACAAATTAAGTCTTTTCATAAAATATTATGTAACTACTTATATAAATTACCCAATAAAGATATGAGCAAGGCCTCACCTTAAAAAAAAAAAAATAAATAATAATAATAAAAAGTGATGGGTTTTGCGAGGAGATGGGTTTGACATAATAATTATATTAGTTTTATTAGTTTTGGGGTACAGTTTTATATATACGTCATGTGCTTAATGTATATTATGATGCAAAAAATTACAATCAATCGCATACCGAAAATGTGTACAAGGTTTTGCTCCAGATGATCATTCGACAATTCAGACGATTATACAAAACCTGATTTTGTTAATAACGAAAGTGATAGTGATGCCAATAATGATTGTTTATATTATAAAGTTGACTTTTTCTTCTGTGTTTCACCTTTAATTATTTTTGTTTTGTATCTTTATTTGCACAAGACATTAAAGAAAAAGCAAAGAAACTAAATTTAGCTAATTTACTTTTACTTCAACTATTCTTTTATGAGAGCATATTAAACTAATAATTATGCTACAAATATGAATTTATATAATACAGTTACACCTTGAACTTATCAAAGAAAACAACTATTTTTAATCATTATATCCATGTTTATGCATTAGCTTTTTATCAACGAATTCTATGGTACGTACAAATTATGTCAATACAGTAATATTCTGCGTTAGTCACAGATGTTGACTATTAATCATTCGAGCCATTCTTTAATTTTCACAAATTAATGAATAATTTAGGTTATTTTTTAATATAACCATCGAGCTTATTATCATTATAATTCAAATTTACTAAAAGATTTTAGTTAATATTATATTTTTTTTATAAAGAAAAATCACAAAACAATAAGATCTAGTTTATTTGTTAAAAGTTCTTTATTGCTCAAATAACTTTTTGATACTTATTTGTAATTTTGTAAGGAAATTTTTTTTTAGTTCTTTATATAATGCTTATTGTTACCTTTATTGATATAAAAAAATTACTACCAACCTACTATAACAGATTTACAATTCTGAAAAGTTATTATAGAAATTACTATGTTTATTAAAAGCCCATAGTATATTTTTTTATTTTTTTTTTATTTTTGAATTTACCTTAATATATAAGGTGTGTTTATGGCCTTTATTGAGTATCCATAGTATTTTTTATAGCGAACTATTATATAATTTAAATTTTTGAGTGCTTTGTATCCAGAGTGTGTCCGTTATAGAGATTAGTTTCATAGAGTCGACTATCTACAAAAAAGTTTTGAATGAAATAAATTATTTTCGTCAAATATCTTTTATTAAATGTAGCGATAGAATTTTAAATTCCGGAGTATTTGACCGAACCGTCACATGATCATCCGGAGCGCAACCTTGTACATAGGGATGGATCGGTCCGTCTCGGTCAGTCCCAGTCCTTATTGGACCGATTTTATAATGTTTTTCGGTCCGGTCGGTCCGTCTTTCGGTCCCAGAATTGGTCTCACGACTTATGCATAACGTTAAAACTTTTATTTATTAGTTCATTAATTAACGGTCAAGTTTTATTTATCAGGGGCCAAATTTTTATTAATTAGCAGCAAATTTTAATAGTTTTATTTCATAAAAATACAGCACGCATAATATGGACATAAATATTATATAATTTAACATGAAGAATTAAGAATATTGATGTTTAACTATCCTCAGTATTAAAGTGTAGCCAAACTGTTGATTTTTTTTTGATTATTAAGTTGTCAATAACATCAACATTTATTTCATTAGTATCACTATCATATTCTTCAGCACACTGAGAAATATCAGAAGATGGAAGGAAGAAATTTTCATCGTCACTCATGGTTGAAAAGGGTTGTAAAAATTTATTATTATTGCGTTTATTTTTAAATTAATTTTTTTTTTATCAGTAAGTAGTCGTTGGACCATAATCAGGACCAAGACCGGACTATTGAGGACCGAGGACCGAAAATCATTCGGTCTTCAGTCTTTTACAGTCCGGTCCCGGCCTTTACGAAGACCGATCCATCCCTACTTGTACACATTTTTGGTGTGCCAATCAATCAAATAGTAATTCTGTGTTTTTAATTCCAAAAATGCGCCCGAATGGTACGAATAATTTCTTGTTATTGTTCATGTGACATGATCATGTAAAATTTTTTTGGCTTGATATTTTTGTCATCATCATTTATACCACGACAAAAAACTTCACATGCTGATATAATATGAACAATAACATCAATATTGGACATAAGGAAATTTTTTTTACCGGAGTTAATGTCACTCATGTGCTGCTACGCAGCACATGGAAGTGACATTAACTCCGATGAAAAAAATTCCGTTATTTTTCATCGTACGCCCAATATCTTATACGTATTCAATAACAACAATTATTAAAGGCTAAGATTAAGAAACGTAAGTTTTTTGAACACGATTCGAGTAATAAATAGCTTTAAAAATGCTATTAAAATTTATAATTTATTAACGTTATCTTTAGAATTTCTTATTTGGCTGATTAATGCGCCACCAACTTGGTACACATTCAAGAATTGCTTAAAAAATTTATATAATTTAAACAAACATATTCTCAACATGTACTGTACGTACAGTATCTTAAAATTTAAAATTTTTTGATAAAAAATTTAAAATTAATTTTGACGGAGGAACACCGTAAATACATACAAGAAAAGTTCTTAATATAAAATCGATAGAGTTACTAATTGGATCAAAAGGCATAGAAGGATTTTGAGAAAATTCTATGATATAAAAAAAGAAATAACAGATCATTAAAGAACCTATCGCTATCAAATACCAAGTACCTATAGATGCATTTTTTAAAGTTATAGGATAAATGCTGAAAGTATTTGTAATGATGTTTTCAAAATTTGAGTTAGCAATGATTATCTCTGAATTGGAAATTTCGACCAAATCGTTTGTTGAATTATCATTTAAACTATCGTTATTATTGCTAATGCTTTCATCGTTGTTCTCGATAATGTTCTCAATATAAACTGTCTCTTTATTGTTTTCGTTATCGCTAATTCTGTAATCCTTGCCAGTATTATCATTATCAACATCAATCTTTATATCATTATTAATATCGACATTTGGATTATTACCCATATTAATGTTTGTATCATTATTAATATCGACGTTTGGATCATTATCTATATTAATGTTTATATCATTGTCAACTTTAATGTTTACTTCATTATTAACATTAATATTTGTATCATTAAAATTTACTTTTAAACTATCAAAGAGTGTTTTTAGGACTGGTATAAATGTATAAAGAAAAGAGCACACACCACCAATCAACCAAAAAATAGCTTGGAGTATAAACAACTTTACATCAGGATGATCTTGATCTGATGACAAAGTAAAAATAGTAGTTACCCAATTTATAATATTCAATATAATTATTGAAAGTATGGTTATTATACTTAAAATATCACTCCTATTTGAATCATTATAAAATTTACGACCCGTCATCAAGAGCGATGTCCATATTACCGTCGAGTAAATAGAAGATGATATTTCATAAAAACACCAAAAATATGTGCTCGATAGGGTTGAAAGTAATACTCGTGCTAAGTTCATTGTACATAGTACTAAAGTCATTATACTTGATATTAGGCTGTAAAATTAAGTAGATAAAAAAAAATTACGTAAGATATAGCCATATGAATTATTTAATTCACGAGATTCAAACTTACCATGCACCTCTTAAATACGTAAGTTTTATTAAGCTACTATATAAAATAAAACAACTTCCCACAAAACTTATAACTACGCTTGATAGAGTAAAAATTATTCTGGCGTTCATTTTGTCGATTAAAATTTCGTAAATAAAAAATAAATTAAAGAAAGATGATATTTTACTTCAAAATTCACAAATGTAAGTAATCATTTATAGGATCAGCAATACATTTTGTGATCCCTTCTATGATTTAGTATAAACATTATACGTATATCTTTGGTGATCCGTCTATAAACCTAATTAACTTAATTTACTGATAATGTAATCAAAGATAAGATAATAATTTAGATATGATTATGTTTATCAGCAATAATAAAGCTTATCTATTTGATAAGCAAAAACCAACTGAAGTGTTTGTAACAACTAGAGACGCAAACTTATTATCAGTTATAGTATGGATGTGCTGTACTACGTACGTATATGTACGTAATTATTATTGTAACAGGTAAAAGATTTCTGAATTCTGCACCTATAAAATAGTAGTAAAATTGTCAAATTTTCTAATCTGCCTAAAAATAAAAAATTCTGACAGCGTATTTGTTTGCTAAATACATTGATAGTGTGCATGTCGATAGGATTGAAAATTTAATCAGTCCAAACTGTTATCAGTTATTTACATACTTGCGTACGTACTGTACGAATTGAATTTTTTATTTCTTTCTTCACTTCCATATTCATAAATTATCCATTTGATTGAACTAGCAGCGATAATTTTTTCATTGGTTTTTTATTATATTGGCAGAAGATTATCGCGGATTTCGAAAAAATAGAAATTAGAGCAAAAAAATTTTTTTTGGTGTATACTCGTACGTACGTACTGTACATACGTATACCGCATTTTGTAACAATTACTGAATTAGGTTAAGTACAGTTGCCTCCGAAAATTTAGTAAAATAATTGGGCTGGAGCGGAGGGGAACGGAGTGAAAGACCTTATAGCCGTATACATAGAGATCTTATCGATGTCCGGCTCCCGCCCCTGTAACAATGATAAAAATTTTGCAATCCCTTGTAGAACCTTCGATCATTAAATTGAAAATAAATCAACTGATTACTAAGCTGATTAATAGTTTAATATTTGAATTTTTTTTATTTGAAATTTTTTTTACAGTGATAAAATGCAAGTACAAAAAGAATTTATAATGTACGCTTGAACTAAATGCTGCAAGAAATAAGGCTAGAAGAAGATTAACTTCAAAAAACAGTTAAGTTATTGAAATAATGAATCAACAAATAACAAAAACTCTATTAGTGAAAAAGAAAATGCAAACCAAATGGTGAACAGACAAATAATGACGAACAAATAAATAATAAAGACTATAAATCTAAACGTAATATTTATTTACTGCAGTCTCATTATAAAATCATAAATTTCATTGAGATTTTACTTTTTTAGAAAATCGAAATATTTTGTCACTACTACTTGCCTGCCAGCTTTACGATGATCTTCAAAAGGTTTCTTGACGCAGTTTCTGCACTTAAATCTAATTTCTATCCCATTTGTAAAGAAAGTAGCCATCTTTATTGCCTACATTAATTCTGTTCACAATGGACAATTATACAGGTCCAACTTTATCTATGCGAAATAGCTCACGGTGGTACCAATTCGTCCAATTAAATATACTTGGGAAAGAAAATTAGGGACCTGTTCACATATGCAATTTCCTTTGTGCCTCGCTTGGGCAATTATGGTTCATAAATCGCAAAGCTTAACATTATCACAAATCTTAAAGGGCATTGACAAAAAGGATTTTGCTATGGGTCCTACATTTATTGCTGCATCAAAAGTTCGTGCACTTGACGTTCTTCTTTTCAATAGTACTTTTTCTTATAATAGGTTACAAAAAATTGAGGGAAAGTACACATTTATAACAGAGTTTGACTGAAAAACAGAGATCGCTTTCTTTATCTTTATGAATTTATGAATTGTTATGTTTGTTCACATGCGTATTAATATGAATTTATAAAATATATTGCTTAGGCAATACAAATTATTCATAAATAGACTCGACCGGTTTATAAAAATCAATTAAAATAATTTTGTATGTTCTTATATTGATGAGTTTAGATTTTTATATAGGATGCTACAGTTTTTTTTTTAAAAAAAAGGTTGAACCTACCTAACACTTAAGGCTCCAGCCCTATAAAACGCCGCCGTTTTATTACTAGTAATAATAATAATAATAATAGAAAAATATATATTAAAAAAAAACATGAAATAAATTAGCCAATATTAATTACTCCAGGTCGTATTATTCAAGCCAATAATAATGATATGTATACGATATTTGATAGCGCAAAATACGTTATTGATTTGTATTTTTTATGTTTTTCTTTATTTTTTATTGTGTAACCGATCTAAACTTTCAGAGGCAACTGTACGTACGTATATGTCGTGCCTCAGACAAACCCTTGCCTAAGATATCAATCGGCCTAAGTTAGGATAGGGTAAGAATCTGGGAAGGATTTGGGCTTAATTTAGGTCAATCAATGTCGATCAGTTAATGGGTCAAAAAATCGACATCTGACGCAAGCATTAAAACATACCGGGTGTCCCAAAAGTTATTCACGGTCCCTTTTTTTAAAGTAACCTTATATATAGAGATCACGATGATTATTTATGCAACTCAAAAAAAAAAGGGGACCATGTATAGGAACTGGGACACCCGGTATATAGATCAAGTTCTATCGATGTGATAATGTAATCCAGTATATGCATATACACAGTATACGGGACCCAGAAAATTTTTTTTTACCTGACTTCTACAATTTAGAAAACTATTAAATGCGACCACATAATAATTATTATCACATACGAACACTATTCCATAAATGATGTGTTCAAACAAATAAATAGCGCACTCTTAAACAAATATAAACCTTTTTGTAGTACAGTAGTACTACTAAACATTTCCTTCTCTTCTATATCCTGTAATATGTATTAAGGTGACGTTGGTTTATGTCAGGTTCTTATACGTATAATCATAAATAACTGATTCTAAAATTTTATTTCTAATCAAAACATTATAAATTACCCCGCTGTCACGGCTGTCCTGTCCGTACCAAAGCATTTGATTGGTTAGAACTAACCCTGTACATAAGTGATTTCAACCAGGTTCTGTTCAATTTTGATGTTCACTAGCCTTTTTAGTAATGATTTTTATTTATCCAGTTATATTTTGTATGTCATGCTTATGTGAAAATACTACCTCTATAGTGTGGGAAGAATCAAAATCTTAAAATATAATAATTACTAGCCATTATAAGTGTGTCCGTTCTTGATTATTTTGAGATCTATATTCTTAAGTTATGTCGAATTACAGCATAGTATGAACTGTTGCAGATCACATGTCATGGGAATTCACTATATTTTCTGGATTTTTCAAGATAAATTAGATTATGAATATTTGATCATTTGTGTAACAGGATCGTTATTATCCATAATCTATCTGTGAATTAATAATCAATAAGTGTAAATTGAAACATGGATACAGAAATGATAAGTTATTCTTATTTACATTCTTGGTTGTCATTTATGATTTTCAAGAATTGACTTTTGTTCACTATATGCACTTTGTAGATATTAGATTAACTGAGATATAGATAATGTTAGCAGCATGCATTAGTGAGTCATATACTGTGTATTGTCAGAATAGTAAGGTTTGTAGCAGAATTTTTTACAGTAACTCACAATAGAAACTGTAATAATTCTAACACAAATTATCTCAACTACATATTATGATTATTAGAATAGCAGCAAGTTTTATATAAGAGTTTTTTTACAATAGAAGTCAAAATAATTATAATGCAAACTAACTTACTTTTAACCCCATATTGTGATTATTAGAATAGCAAACAAGAGATTTTTTACAGCAATTTATAATATAAATAATTCACAATAATCTCAATACAAACTTAACTTTAACTTTATATTATGCATTGAATAAGTTTGTAACAGAATTTTTTATATTAATTTATAATAGAAATTACAATAATTACAATACAACTACCTTTTCATTATTATCAGAATAGCAAGTTCTGAACAAAATATTTAAATGATATAAATTGTGATAATTCTGATATTAACTAACTTAACTTTATAGAAAAATATAAGACAATTTTAATCAATTTAACTTAACCTTAACCACACTATAGTCTTTAAAATAATGAGTAAGTGTTGCAGAATTTTTTACATAACTTAGAAAGATTATAAAAATTCTAATGCAAACTTAACCCAACTTTAACTACTTATTGCAGTTACTGGAATAGTAAATAATTTTTAAAACAATAATTCTAACACAAACTAATTCAACCACATATTGTAATTATTAAAATAGTATACAAAGGTTTGTATGAAAAGTTTTTACAATAATTTCTTATAATATTCTAATATTAATCACAATAATTTCTTTTTTGGTTTTAAGGTGAGGTCTTGCTTATATCTTTATTAGATAATTTATATAAGTAATTATATAGAAACTATATAAAGACTTAATTTGTATACAAACAAATAAA